GTCCCACAAACAGTCGTGGATTGACGTTACCAATTTATTATTGGTTTTTTTCTTGAGGAATTATTATCAGGCGTCTGGAGTAAGGAAACTTGCCCAAAGTTTCGCTCTGCCGAGAATCGAACCCAGGTCTCTCGCTTGCGAGGCGAGTGCTCTAACCACTGAGCTACAGGATTCCACCTGTACTATTTCCTTGTAGCTTATAGTCGTATCAAGTCTCATATCATTGCAATTCAAATTCTGTGATTCAGACTCTTACCATCTATCACCAGCAGCCTCCTGCTGTTAACAGAATGTGTTTCAATCCAGTAGCTCATCTCTAGGTTTGGATTATATTAATCAACTACACATGATTCACTCATGATTTGGCATCAGCTGAATTCCTCAACATCTTCCTGTCTTGCAGTAAGCTGCACCTTACTGTTACCCAAGATGTAACAATAATAATCATTGCATTTGAAGATCAAAGGGTTCAGTTAACAATGAAGTATTTTAGTGAAACTCAAGCAAATGTTTCATGTGGTTTATGTTTTATGGGAGCATGGAGCAGTTCTCTATTGTAACAATTATTATTTTCCTAAAATAGCATACACTACTAGACAATGCATCATCTATGAGATTTCAGTACAAAATCAGTTCTAGTTCTGGTTTCTGCTACTATCGTGACAGAAAATTATGGTTTAATAATTAAATAAAAATGTCTAGAACGAAGAGCTTAATGTCTAGCAACTGAATGCAACACCCTACAAAATACATGATCATCAGACTCAACAGTAAATCATGTGAAGCACTTTGAGACATTACAACAAAATGATAAGGTGCTAAATGAAATGCAAGGATTATTATAATATATTAAATTGGGGAGGGTCTTTGGCACTCATCAGCTGTGATTATATAAGATGGATTCTGTAGTCAGTAACTGGATACCATATCTCTTCAACAAAAACAGAAGTCACTGGGAATGCTCAGCAGGTTAGGCAGCATCTATGGAGAAAGGAAAGCGAGTCAACATTTTGGGTCCACCCTTTGTCAGAACTGGGGCATGTTGGGAGGGAGAGGCTTTTAAGGGCTAACAGAGAGGGGGGAGGCAAGGCAAGGAAGACAAAGGAGAAAATGGGGTAGAGGACAGGGGATGATGGGTTAAAGAAGTGTTAATGATGTAAAAAAGGACGGGGGTTGCAACAAAATAGACAGACCAGAGAGAGAAAAGGTGTACAAAACATAAATTACTACAGATGCTGGAATCTGAAACAAAAACAGAGAGAGCTGGGAAAACTCAGCAGGTCAGGCAGCATCTATGGAGAAAGGAAAGTGAGTCAACGTTTTGGGTCCACGACCCTTCGTCAGAACTGAGAGAAAAGGTGTGTCTGGGACCCAGATGATGTGGTAATGGTCACAGAAGAGGGGGAGGGGGAAGGTGAGCTGTTATGGTCCGACATTGTTGATATCAATATCGAGGCCAGAGGGCTGTAAGGTTCCCGGCAGATAAATGAGGCGCTGTTCCTCGAGCTTGTACTGTGGCTCATTGGAACAGTATAGGAGACCGTGGATGGAGAGGTGCGAGTGGGAGGGAGAGTTGAAGTGGCGAAAATGGGGCTCACCTCTCCCCTTTTTCTCTTCTGTGACCTCAATATTTGTGCTAACATTTTCAATCCTGTATATTTGTTATCATTTATGATTTAATTATAGACTATTATATGCCACTATTATCTCTGATAATAGTTAAGCCTTGGTAAAAGTCTGATAAGAAATACCACACTTTAATTATGCTTGGATCACAATTGATATGCAATGCAGATAAAAGGTTAATTGCCAAATAGCAAGACAATCAATTCATGTGAGCTCCAGAATAGCTAGATACCAGGTTAATAAATTTACTAGCTGCATCACGTAGCTGAGCTTTTCTCCTCTTTTATCACTCTAAAAACAGATTGTTAAAACTTGCTGAAGGGTCAATGTTTGGCAAAGTCAGAAACCGAGCCAAAGAGACTGGGAAAGCCCAGGTTTCAATTCTGTTTAGTGTTAGTTAGTTGCTTTTAGGTGGGCAACAGTAGGGTGCTATGATTGTCTTCAATCCTCTTGTAACTATAACGTCTCTATTTTATCCTAAAATTACTTATAATTTGTGTTAAAAAAACATATTTATCATAGCTTAAATAGAATACCAAATAATCCTAGTGTGATATGTCTAACTGACTACATTCCACTGGAAGCAGTTTTTTTTCTGCTAATAAACTCGCTATGGTCAACTGAATTCAGTGAACAAATATTCCAGAGTGTAACAGTGTTGCAGCTTCTAGGCAGTTGTTTAAACACTAAAAGAAGTTTCATAAAAATGTATTATTAAAGGTTAGAGTCCAGAACTGTGCTTTAAGTAAATTATCGTGCTGTGCGTTATTTTAAGTTTGGATTTGGAGACTGTATAAGTGTTGTGCTTTCTATAAGAGTAATCTGGTACACTATCTTTGAAATTAGGAATCAAGTTATCTACCACTTGCAAAATACACTGTCACTACACTTTAAGAGTGAATATTGTGAAGGTCTTTAAGATATCCTTCCGATGTGAGAGGTACTGTATCAAAAGCAAAGATTATTATTTATAAGTACTGTATGTATTTTTCCTTGGCATGATATAACTTGAGATATTTTCATAGACCTTTTATTACTTGTGAAAACAATCAATGTACAAAAATCAACTAAATGTGAAACAGGAAAATCAAAATAGAGAACCAAAAAATGAAAGATAGGAACTGATGCACTTAAATTATGAAATTAGTACAATATTTAATAAAATATTGATGTACATTAGTAAGGTACATTATATTTTGTATAATGACAATAATATACAGTAACAACAATGGGCTGATATCAATTATTGCCCCCACTAAAATTTCAGAACAATAAAACCTCAGCTTGTTTCTGACCGAAATTGTTTCTTAAATATTGCATCTTTGCACTGTGCGCAAACATTACATCTGAAATGTTGTAACTTCTTTGTTAAACCCACCGTTTTAATCACAGTTACATTATTGCATCCTAAATAAATCTAGTACAGCAATAGAAACCTTTAAGTACAGAATCACACAAACCATATGCAAATCCTGTGATGCAAAAATAATAAACACCTTTTTCGTAAACAAAAAACGAATCTCTACAAAACTTTTTTCCATATGATCCTTTCCACAAAAAGATATTGCAAGTTTACAGGATGGTTACATGCCTCTTCCCAACCAGTTTGATAAAATAAAATGGAAAAAAAGATTTGTTTACAAGTAACTGGTTATGGGCTAATAATCTTCCATTACCAAATACATGTCGATTATTACCTTATTACTTTAAAAGCAAATATTTGCAGTACAATAGTTTCAGTAGCTTTGTGAATCCCAGCTCAGAAATTGTTATACGAAGGAAACCAATATTTAGTGAGTATGGTATTATTTTTCAATTTTATTACAATAGGTGTTTTGTGGGCGTTTCGACCACAAAATATAGTCAATTCACTTTACAGTAAATTCTGTGAAGCGTTTTGAGACGTCTCGAGGACGCGATAAGGCGCTATATCAAATGCAAGGATTATTATTGATATTAACAACAAAACGTGTGAAAAAACGTGTTATTTCGCCGTTAGCCTCTGGGTATAACAGAGTGCAACTCTGTGTCATTTGGTCCTTGAAGCTCAGGAGTACATTTTGTTGACATCGATTTAAAATCAGGAGCGTTCAGTCCAATTTGCCAAGAGGACACTTTATTGCCCCCTCACACGACAGCAGCAACTGCACAATGAGATCCCACTGAGCAAAATGTTTGCACTGTACTGAACCTCTCGCTTTACTTCGTTCTGGTCTGGTGATTCTCCTGCGACACTCCCAGAAAATACTGGGATGAAATACTCAATAAAACCAGAGCATTGTGAACGAAAATTAAGCTGATCCGGTGAGGGTGGGAGGGAGGGAGGGAGGTGGGGTGGGGGGTGAGTGAGGGGATCCTTCAAACCAAACAAAGATCTCCCAACTGTTACCCTTTCTTCCCTTTACCCTTTCTTCCCTTTTTCCCCCCCAAAAAAAAATCCTACCCCCAGACACAGACCCAGACGCCTTGAACGTGTTCGTGTGAATGAAACCTGACCGATTTCCCTCAATGTGAGAGAGAGAGAAAGAAAGAGAGGGAGAAAGGAGGGAAGAATAAGAATAAGAATAAAACTCACAACGTTTGAGATTCCCAACAACAATAACGACGACCCCCACTCCCCCCTCCTCCCCCCCCAAAAAAAGGGAGGAATACGAAAAAAAAACCACAGATTTTTTTTTCAAACCTCGCAGCTGCTTTTGAAAGAGCGGTTCGGGATCGCGGTACAATTGGTCCCCGACCGGTCACGTTGTGTGCGGATCAAGTGCTGAGCCGAGGAGCCATTTTTCTGAGGGTGGGAGTCAGTCAGCAGTTTTGTGGAGAAGGGAAAAGGTTGTGGATTATAGTGAGGAGCAGCAGAGAGAGAGCGAGAGAGAGAGAGAGAGAGAGACTGCATTGCACTGCACTGAGTAACCAACTGCTTCCCTCTCTCTTTGCATTCGTTTAGTGCTTTCTTTTTTGTATTATTAACCTTATTTTTACTCTTTTCTGGGTGTTGCATGTAACCCCCCCCCTCCCTCCCCACCACCACCCCACCCTCCCCTCACACCACCACCACCACCTTCCCACTTTTACCCCCCCTTTCCTCCCCTTCGATTTTTTTTAAAAAAATCCCTTTTTTAAAAAAAACAGCCTCCCCCCTCACCCTCCCCCCCCACACAAAAAAAGTTATTTTTCCTTTCCTCTCTTTTTTAAAAAAAATCTATTTTTCTAAAGAAAACCCCCCCCACCACCACCCCCATAAATATCAACTAACAAAAAAAAATTAACCCCCTCCCTCCCTCCTTCTTCCCCACCCCCCGCACACAAAAAAATAATAACTCCCCCCCCCCCCCCACCCACCCACCCACCCACCCCGCACCCGCCGCCTCGATAATTTCTTGGGTGCAAATGGCAACGGTGACTCCAAAGAGCCACCCCCACCCCCGGGCGAGCAGCCGGAGCTCGGGGGGGGGCACTCCGCTCAGCCCCACCCGCATCAGCCGCCTGCAGGAGAAGGACGAGCTGAGGAACCTGAATGACCGTCTGGCCGTCTACATCGACGCGGTGCGCTCACTGGAGTCCCAGAACAGCCTCCTGCAGCTCCAGATCTCCGAGAGGGAGGAGGTCAGCACCCGGGAGCTCAGCGGCATCAGGAGTCTGTACGAGACCGAGTTGGCCGACGCCCGCCAGTCCCTGGACGAGACGGCCAAGGAGAGGGCTCGGCTCCAGATCGAGCTCAGCACCAGCCGCTGCGACCACGACGGCCTCCTGCAGAGGTGAGTCCGGCTCCCGGCTCAGCCCACTGCAAAGTCATGGCTCAATTATTATTATTATTTATTATTATTATTTGTTATTATTATTTGTTATTATTATTTGTTATTATTATTTATTATTATTATTTGTTATTATTATTTTTTATTAATTATTATTATTATTTATTATTATTTATTATTTATTATTATTATTTATTATTATTATTATTATTATTATTATTATTTATTATTATTTATTATTATTATTTGTTATTATTTATTATTCTTGTTTATTATTATTTATTGTTATTGTTGTGATCATCATTTCAGCAGATTTTTTTTTATTTCGTGTCTCTGGTTTTTTTTTGCTCTGTGTTAAATCTGGGTTCATCCTCTACCCCCCCCCCCCACCCCCCCTCCCCTCCTCCTCTCTCTCTCTCTCTGTGTTTGTGGTACACGAGGGGGGGAGGGTGTGTGTGTGTGGGGGGGATGTTTGAGTGCACTGGATTTATTCGGAAACGTGTGCACCCATTGGCAATGACTTTAAATGGACAAGGTATTCCGATGGCATCTTGAGGTCATTTTTTGCATTATTTTTTAATATAAAATGCACCGAACAAAAAAAACTGCCGCAAGCGATCAACCGATTGCAAACTCATCGCCGAGTTATCAGTGAAAATGTCGCGTCCTGTATTAAATCTGCCCCCCCCCCCTCCCCACCTTCCCTCTCTCTCTCTCTATTTGTGTAGAGAGTTCCCCTTATAAACTTGAGTTTTTTTTTGTTTCGAAAAAAAAGTCTTGGGCGCTCTACATATTCAAATCAATTGCACAGGGGGTTGAGAGTGTGGTTTGTCCTCTACCATTTGTGGAGAAAGCTCTCATGATAGCGATGCCCGTGACACCAGGAGGGCAGTGGGACCTCATGCGCGTCTGAGTGTGAGTTACATAGGCGAATTGTGAACCCCCCTCCCCCCAGCTTTAACTATTGCATTTGCTCTGCCTTGTGATCCCCCCCTCACTCACCCCCCCCCTCACTCACTCACTCACCCACCCCCCCACTCACTCACTCACCCCCCCACTCACTCACCCCCCCCTCACTCACCCACCCCCCACTCACCCCTCACTCACCCACCCCCCCACTCACTCACACCCCCCACTCACTCACTCACCCCCTCCCCCCACTCACACTCTCCCCCCACTCACTCACCCCCTCCCCCCACTCACCCCCCCACTCCCTCACTCACCCCCCTCACTCACTCCCTCACCCACCCCCCCTCACTCACTCACCCCCCCTCACTCACTCACCCCCCCCCCCTCACCCCCCCCCCCCCACTCACCCCCCCCTCACTCACCCCCCTCACTCACTCACTCACCCCCCCCTCACTCACCCCCCCCCCCACTCACCCCCCCCCACTCACCCCCCACTCCCTCACTCACCCCCCTCACTCACTCCCTCACCCACCCCCCCTCACTCACTCACCCCCCCAACCCCTCACTCACCCCCCCCCCCTCACTCACCCCCCCCACCCCCTCTCACTCACCCCCCCCCCCCTCACTCACCCCCCCCACCCCCTCTCACTCACCCCCCACCCCTCACTCACCCCCCCCCCTCACTCACCCCCCCACCCCTCTCACTCACTCCCCCACCCACTCACTCACTCACTCAGGGGTATAGCCACTGGACCTTTGTGTATTATAAACCACTGGAAAGCCCCCGAATGGCTCAAGAGATGGTGCGGTGGTAGTAAAAGTCTCGCGTTTCATTAGCGATTACGGAATTTCCCGTTGTACCTTTTAAGGAAAAGAAGGTGCTGCAGTGTGTAAGTGACGGGACCAGTCCGTCACTGGGTCAGCACCGAAGCCGGACCTGGTCTTAGTCCCATTAACCCCGGTCGCGGTGTGTTAGATAGCGAGCGGTCTCTCTGTGTGGTGTGTGTGTGTGGTGCAGTTTGGTGCTGCAGTGTGTGAGTTGGCGACCATTGAATGGGGAGAGGCCGCTCCACTGTCTGACCATATATAGGAAGAAGGCGGTGTCGCTGTGCCTGACTGGAGGGTTCAGGTTCGTCCCTGTGTGTGTGTGTGTGTGTGTGTGTGTGGTGTGTGGTGGGGTGGGGGGCAGCGCCTGTAAACCTTACTCCAGCTATCGCACATGGAAATCAATATGCAGTCCACCACCCCGTCTATTTGCGTTAACAATATATATGTATAAAAATAAGAGAATTAGGAGATGTACAGGAGCCTTTTTCGCCCACCCCCCCCCCCAAGCCCCCTCCTCCCTATCCCTGTGGCCTCACACCCACCCGCCCTGTGCTCAGTAACACGGGCTGTGCAGACAAAGGCGCGATCCCCACTCAATGGCAGAGGCTCCTCCTGTGCTGCTCTCAGTGGGGGATGGAGTCCCCGTCCCATCCGTTTGCACTCCCGTGAACTGCGAGCAAAGGGAATGTAACTTTCCAAAACTTTCCCGACCAATTACCAGGTCGACGTTATAAACCTCCAACCTTTTTTTCCCCCCCACCCCCAACCCCCCATTTTTTTTTGTCTCTCCAGTTCAGTGTGTGACAGGAACACCGCATTGGAAAATCAACACACCAGCAATTCCTACACTAACAAAGCAGCTGCTTTATTCCCCTGGTGCTGCTGCTTGAATGCTTTTATTCTTGGGATTTTTTTTGTGGGGGGGGGGGTGGGGGGTACAAAAAAATTGTACCGTCGACGTTACTAGATTTTTCGTTTTCCAATCGCAGTTTGAGCGTTTTTTTTTCAATCCTTTTTTTTCCTGAAAAAAACAAACATTTCGGATGAAATGGCACAAGGTTTTTATTCTGTTTTTTTTTAAAAAAAATCTCTTAATTTGTAAAATGTCCGATCTTTTATTCTGTGCTCCTTAAGCAGTCGCGTTTTTCCTTAGCTCCACATTTAAGAAAAGTTTCTGCCTATGTCGTGTTTGCACATTTGATGAGCAAGTTTTTGTGCAATTGACCCACATCCAAGTCACTCACTCCTTACTTTTCAAGCTTTTGTTTAAACATTTAAAAATGTTGTGTAGTAGTTCCAGGTATTTTAAATTGTAAGCTTAAAGGTGACTCCTGCATGATGAGCAATGTGCTTTACCATTTGCCTTTTGGTAAAAAGCCTTAAATTTTAACATGGGTGTGCGTGTGTGCAGCTCTATCCAAGTATAACCACTACTTGAGGTTTTTGTAGGATAATGATAGCATGTTGCTCTATCTTTATGTTGTAGAATCCTGTAGCTTAGTGGTTAGAGCAGTCGCCTCGCAAGTGAGAGTTCCTGGTTTCAATTCCCGGGCAGGGCGAAATGTTGGTCAAGTTTCCTTACTCCACGCGCCTCTGTTCACCCAGCAGTAAGTAGGAACCCAGTAGTTGGTGGATCACTTTTCCGGGGGTAATAATCCCTTCAAAGAATAAATAAAATAATAATTTGGTCACTCAATCCACGACTGTTTGTGGGAACTGTACAATTGGCTGCTGCATTTTGCCCACACATTATAGTCAATTCACTGCAGTATATTCTGTGAAGCACTTGGGAGATGTCTCGAAAACACAATAAGGCGCTATATCAAATGCAAGGATTATTATTTTATTGTATATTCATTTTAATTTTGTCCGAAACATAGTTTGATGGAAGTTCAAGCATTTTTTTAAAAGAGAAAATCTCAATTAGCATGTTGCTCTTTTTTGAAAGCAATGTTTTATCCTCTTGAAATACAATGCTCTGTATTGGAGAGAGACAAGAATGTGATTGCTACATTTAAAAAAAAATAATATACGTGTGATGTTTGAGCAGTGAATCTGGTGGTCTTGACAAAATGGTGGGCTGCTGAGGTGCTTTATTCCCTTTGCTGCTATTTGACAAATAGAAGCTGCAGACCATTTGTGCTGAGATCATTGACGTTTAGGTTATGTAACCTTTTTGAACTGAAATTTAAGTCACTATATGATTGAAATACTCATTACTTATTTCTAGTTGGTTAATTGCTGCCAATGAATTGTTTAGCTGTAAGAAATATGATGTTGCTCTGCAGGGAACTGAAGTTTAAGGATGCATTTATTTGGTTATTAGTGCATCATTATAATTGCTTGTTTATTCAGTACTATTGTATGTAAAACACAGTTAAATTCATATGGTATCACTATGTAAGTGTTATTCTGGTGCCAAGCAGTTTTACGAAGTTGTGTTGCAACTTTTGATGCCTTTTTGTACTGTTCTGACAACACATAAAATAAGGTTGTAACTTTCTGAATTCCAAACTGTCCCAGACAATTTTATTCTGTTTTGTTACCCCTGAATGGTGCAGAATCCTGGAAAATAAATGGTTAACTATAAACTAAATATTGCCTAGAAGAAATTCACGTCCACAACACCAACTTGCACTTGTGTAGCACCCTCCATGCAGGGTAGAGTCTCAGAGCGCTTAACAGTGGCGAAGACTGACTCCGAGCCGAGGTTGGGGTGGGGGTGGTGTACATTCGATGAGGAAGATGTTCAGGTGGGACTTGATAAAGGGGAGAGAGGGAGCAAAGCGGGGAGATTGAGGGAGCGTGTTTCAGAGTTTCGGGATGTAGTGGCTGAAAGCGCAACCTCCAATGGTGGAGAGGAGGATGCAAGGGGTGAGTGACGAGCAAGACGTCAGTGCCAGTTGTGCGGAGGCGCTGGGTAGTGGATTGGGGAGTGAGGAGGTAAGGGAGGTAGGGAGGTGCCAGGGAGCGAAGGCATTTGAACACAAGTGTGAGGATCTTGAAGTCGATCCGATCAGTGATGTGGAGCCTGGCCAGAACTGGTAAGATGTGGGGACGAAATTTGGTCCGGGTAAGTATGCGAGCGGCAGAGTTCTGGATGAGCTGAATTTTTTGAATAGTGGAGCTGGGGAGACTGGCGAGGAGTGCATTGGGAGTAATCCAAGTGAGAGGTGACAAATGCATGCACAAGAATTTCGCCTGCATTTGGGTAAGGTACGGTCGGAGGCAGGCAATGTGGCGGAGGTGGAAGAAAGTGGTCCTGA